AAGTGTCATTAACCAGCACGCTAATACCATCACACCAAAGGTTTGATTGTCCAATTCCTGCATCACATATATCTACATACACTTAGATATTATCATACCAATGTTGTTTACAACTATATATATATATATATATATATATATATTATATATAAAGGGGATACCTTCCCTTCAAGTTCAACCGCTTTTAGTCTTTATTTTTAATGAAACTATTTTGTCTTTTAAATGAAAACTTTCACTAAGTAACCGTACATTACAATTTTATTGTGTGATACCCGTTCTATCCCAATATATAATACAATTAAAATAAGGAACAAAGTCATTTATCTTGAGTAAAACAGGTTCACATACAAAACACTTCTAAGAACCAATCAAATTGAAAACCAAATTTATAAAATAAAAGGTTTACAAATTGTAATTTAAACAAGAAAGAAAGGTAAAACAAAATGAGTTGTACACTCCTATTCTAAACCCATTACCCCGATGTCACACTATCAGAGCAACTCATACTTCAACTCTTGACATGCATAGATACACTGTTAATCACCACATCGGCCAGGGTAATGCATATGCGCATCCACCAATGCTCATGCCATGCCACCACCATGCATAGATACACTGTTAATCACCACACCGGCCAGTGTGTGTGTCTATATATATATATATATATATATATGAGAAGGGTTCAAATGACACCGGTGTAACTTTTACCAAGTGTTACACCACTTAATAACTTGATATTAAATTTGAATTTTGAAAATCCAACCGTTATATTGAAAGTTCATATCTCTTAGATCACATATACAAAATTTTATATTAATCCAAGATGATTTGATACTTCATTCTCATAAAACAAAATTGACGTAATATATTCATTTCAAAATACACTAAAATATGAACACTTTGATTATCTTCAAGTTGTTGTTCAAATTTAACAAAATTTGATATATATGATCTAAGAGATATGAACTTTCAATCTAACGGTTGGATTTTCAAAATTCATAATTAATATCAAGTTATTGAGTGGTGTAACACTTAGTAAAAATTACACCGGTGTCGTTTGAACCCTCCTCTATATATATATATATATATATATAGAGAGAGAGATATATATATATCGTTCATTCCCTATTAATCACCACACAAGCTAGGGTAATACATTTACTGTTAATCACCACACAGGTCAGGGTAATGCATATGCATATGCCCCAATGCTCAGGCTAATGGCACCAAACTCATTCCTCATCTTCATTTATGCTAATGCATAATTATTAATTCAAATACAACCACATTTCTACATCGCTCATCCAAATACAAACCATTCATACTCAAATATACTCAGCCAAATACATATCATTTATATCTATTCATCCAATAGCCATTACTAGATATCATACAATTCACAATCATCATCAAAATCCATCAATATAATACATATTTCACAACCCACTTAATATCATAAACACATCAAACTCATTCAATCATATCATAAGTATTATAAAGCATCATTAAGAAATCATAAAGTATCACAAACATGCCAAAAAAGGGTCCCAAAACGTCAAAAACGCAAACTGAAATAGAATACATGTGTCGGGCACCGTAAATCTTGATAATTTGACCTCTACTCACTATGTTGACCATAACTTGAGTTCTGCACATCCTTTTTAAGTGATTCTGATGTCGAGGCTACAATATTTGTGAAGAACACGAAGCCTAAAAATGTCGTTAAGGTCATCTCGCATGGCTGACAACACAAAATTTTTAATATTTTGTGCACTAGAATGGAGACTAAACTTATAACTCTCATAACTCAATCAATTATTAAAATTTTTACAGGATTCTAGAGTCTAAATTATAGCCCAAAGTGTATACTTCTAACCCAACAAATAGAAATTGATTTGGTTAATCACACAAAAAGTTATTACACAAATGTTAAGGTACACCCATAAGTAAAATCTTCCAATTACTCATTAATTCATATAATTAAGGATGTTCATCAATCTTGATGGAGTAAGGCAAGAGAAGTGATGGATGTTCTTCCTTATCCTTGCTCCAATGACATGATCTTCTTCCTTGAGCTTGAATTTGGACCAGAATTTCTAGAATGGATGGCACTATGAGTGAACCTAGGCTAAAGAAGGAAGCACTCAAGCAAGATCCACAAAGGAGTGCTCATGGTTTAGGATTAGAAAGCTTTGGATTCCTAATGCTAAGGTAGTGAACTCTCGGTGACTTTTGGGAGAGAATTGGCTGAAGCAAACTCAGAATTCTCATATATGCAAAAGTGAATACAAGAGTGAAGGCATTCAACTTAAATAGGCATAGATCCAAGTTTACTTGGCGCCCAAAATTTGAATTCAAATGTAATTTGAATTCAAATTTTCAGCCACCATGTGCATGTTCGTGATATAAGGCTCCAAGGTGCATCTAAATTACATTTAGCAAGCATTTGAAGTTGATTTAAGCGTGCACATGTTCATCCATGCATGGCTTAAAACATGTGACCCAAATTCAACTCAAATGGCTCCTAAATGAAACTTAGATTTAGCATCACTTACCTATTTTAGTATTCCTTCAAATTTCCTACTTTAAAGGTTTAAATACAATGGCCAACCTATCACAAACACTAAGAAATAATAAAAGAAACAAAATGAGCCCAATATTGGGTACCAAAATACCTAATGTCCATTAAGCCTGAAAATAGGTCCAATAAGCCTATAGCCTAAAAATCTTAATCTATGTGGTCCACAATACAAGACCAAAATATATGAAACGTATATTAATATTATATATTCAAATAAAAGACAATGGAAATCTCAGGGTGTGGCCTATGTGAGGAGCAACTTGGGCCCACCAAGCCATTGGGCTCTGAACTAGCCCAAATTTTCATGTCTAGCCCATTCTTCTTGGGTCTTTCAATGTGTCACTTCTTGACCTCATTGGCATGATTCCATCAAATTTGCAAGAACCCTAACTTATAGAACACATCCCAATGAATTCAATTATCATTTAGATTATCAATTTTACCAAATAATATAACAACCACATTTATAAATTAATATAAAATCCAATTGAATCATCAATTTCAACTTCATAAAAGAAATAGAAAATATTAGAGATTTATGGATTTCTCCCACTACCTATTCTCTCTTGTAATCCTACATATGAATCACTCATTTCCCTCCCTATACCTTGTTGCATTAATCAGAACAATTTTGTTGCCGTTCGAGATTGATCCTGAGCACTCCTTCTCGGAGCTCTCTTCTTCTCTTTTCTTTCTTTTCCTTCAGAATACAAAATGAGGTAGATAGGATTAACTCTCCCTCACCTCCTTTTTAAAATTTCATTAGGCCAGGTCAATCCAACCCACTTCTCTTTTCCCCAAAATAAATAAATAATATAAAATATTTTCCCCTTATAATAATAAA